CAGCTGTGGCCACGTGAAAAATCGACTTTTGACTTCAAACTTTGCCCGAATAAAGTTCTCAATGACATTTGTATATTGGGCGGGTACAGAGAAGATCACCTTCAACTTTTATAATAAAGACAAATGTCAGACATATGTAAGAAAAGAATAGCTTTACAGACAGAATAAGACAAATTTCTAGTACTGTGTATCAGTCTGTCCACATTAACCATCAAAATAGGGAGATATTAGAAACAAAACTAAATCGTTAAAAACTGTTTCGTATTTTGAATTTCTATAGGTTTCAATCGAAATTCAAGTTTGACTAAAATAATATTCTGTACAATCACTATTGTGGATCTTTTGAAACAATCCAATAATAGTTGTCGAATCTTATCCCAGAAGGAAATTTTGAACATATATTTGGAAAGAGCGGAAAGGTCTGATTCTAATTAACTGCTTCTGGCACTAATCAGTTATCTCTAAGTCATCGAAAATGAGCAGATCTCTTATGCCGAGACTTTCAGACCATAGGTTAGTTTACATTTCATTAGTGTATTCAATAATAATACTTCAAATTAGTATTTATTTATGTTATATTCATATGAAAAGAAAACATCCAATAGACCTTGATTGCCAAAAAATAAATAAATCAACCAATTTCATGGAATTGAAATGAAGATATTTCAAATCAAACCTTCCTTGATATTAGTCAAGATTCTAATAGAACGGAAATAACTCAGAAGAAAAAGTGTAAATCTATGAATCCTTTTTTTGCATAAAGATTTTAATATTATTCTCAATACTCCTCCTGGAAATAATTTATTTGAAATTTGTGATGTTTCGGCAGGTCGAAGCCTCCTTCGTCAGACTTTTTTATTGATGGAAATGAAAATTAGAACATTTTACACGCTTGTATCTATTCTATTCTTCTAGTACTTTCTCTCTTTTTGTTTTTCTTTTCTATTGTTGATAGTGGGTCGGCAAGACGGTGATAGCTGGTAGAAGTGACTCTTTATTGTCATCTTCTGCCGACCCACTATCAACAATAGAAAAGAAAAATGAAAATAAGAAAGAAAAAGAAAAAGAGAGATAGTACTAGAAGAATAGAATAGATATAAGTGATTTCAAATAAATTATTTCCAGGAAGAGTATTGAGAATAAAATTAAAATCATTATGTTCTTCCTTAACAAATCACAATTTTTTTGCACAAAGTCTAAAATTTAAAAGTTTTATTTTATAAACGAACAGCTTAATTTTTCTTTTCAATAATAAATTTTCTAATCACATATTTCTTTTTTTTCTTTAGTAAAAGTTTCCAGTATGATGCGTGTCTTATGTTCTGATGCTGTTCAAGATCCAACAAAAGTCGAACAATATGTTCGAAATCAAATGGCACAACGTATTAGGTAAATTTATTTATTTTAATTAAAACAAAAAGAACATTAATTTCTATTTTAATTCTATTTCAGAACTCATGAAGAAACCAATGCTGCAAGAAAATTATCTGCTGAACAACGACGTGAAAAAAAAACTAAACGAACAACAGAAGATACAACAAATGGTGTACATGCTTCTGTTTATCGTGTTCGACTTTTAGATGATCCAGCTAAACGATTTAAAATTGAAACTAATTGTAAACAATTACATATGACCGGTTGTGTTGTTCTTTGTAAAGATATAAACATAATTGTAGTTGAAGGAGGTATAAATCATATATATAAAGAAAAAATTCATTTTATTTATATTTTGTCCTTTTTGTTTTAGGACCAAAACAACAAAAGAAATTTCGTCGTTTAATGCTTCATCGAATAAAATGGAGTTCATCAAGTAAAAGTCATATGGACGATGGTATGTTAAATATTTTTTTCTTTAAAGTAAATAAAAAAATGTATTTTTCTTTATAGATGGAAGTGAAGAACAAAATAAAGAAAAAAATAAATGTGTACTTCTTTGGCAGGTAAAAACAAAAAGAAAATTTAATTATATTTATTTTTAATAAGTTTTTTAATAATATTCTAGGGTACAGTAAAAGAACGTTCATTTGGTGAAATTAAATTCAAATCATGTCCAACAGAAAATTTTGCACGAGAACATTTTCGTCGTCATGGTGTTGAACATTATTGGGATATTGGACACAATGATTCAGTACTTGATGCATCTACTGATTGAAAAATAAAAATAATTTTTTCTTCTTTTGTCTGTAAATTTATCAATAGATCAGAACGACGATGTTGCGATATTGTCGTATAAGTTATGTTTATGATCTATTTAAATATATATGTTGTTTGATTGAGATAACAACTATTCAATGGTTAGTTTTATTCAATATCGTTCTTTTTTGCTTGTGTATTACAAAACCATAATGATCGATGACAAAAATCAAGAATTTTATTAATATTTGAAAAATAAATATTTTTCTATAAGCATAGATGCATCAGTTTTCTAAGAATTTGAAATATTTTACTACTTAAGCGTAAGAGAGAGAATGAGTAGTAGAACGTCACTTCATCGATAATGCACAAACAACATCGCCTGAATTTTTCAAACATTATATTCTTTCAAAGGTAATCCCTATGTACCTGCGAATTCACATCAAGGGAACTCATTTTATTGATACTCTATGTCGTCAAGTTTTCATCGAAACCAGCCGGTTCAAACAGTTTATTCCTTTTTCTTATGATATTTTTAATAATTTTTCTATTTAAATTATATTTTCTGTCTTGAAGAGGCCGATCGCTACTCAAACTGGATGGTATCTGAGTTCAGCTCAGAGTGCGAAACATTTTGAATTTTCGTTTTGGGTTTTCGACATTGCACAAGTGACAAAAATTCTTAGTACCTATTGAATTGATGAAAATCTACTACTATTACTGAAAGTTGTTATTGAATTTACATTTAATCTTGCTCTGGTTATTATAGAAAAATATGGTCTTTAATTCAATCTGTTAACATTGCGAAATCGATAGTAAACTGTGCCATATTTTACCGAGCGTTTAGTTTAAATACGATAAATATCAATATTTTACATTTTGTGCACATAAACTTTGCGTATTTTGTTCTGTTTTCTCTAGATGGAACTCAATGAGATCTATCGAATAATCTCATATTTAACGGTGTTTATCAGCAGAGTAGGTTTCTCTCTTAGCAATGACTAGTAGAATAGGGTATTTTTTCTCATGTTATGCCTAAATATTCACTGTATGAGCTGTTCTAACTAAGAAAACAACTGTGCCAGATAGAATTCGATGAGATCTTTCATTCGAAGTCCAATACAATTCTAACGTTAGCCAGGATGAACCTCGACGTAACGGTTCTTCAACATCATCAGAATTTTTTTAATGTTTTGAATGGTAATTAATGTTCTGGTTTGGATAATGATTTTCATTAACTATCTAAATGAGTGTGTGTTTGACGCAGAGTTGGATTGCTTTTTGAGTGGTAGAACTTTTGACCCGACGACGGAGCAAAAGTTCGACGTGACCTTAAAAATACTGGGTTTTGAATCGTCTTTTAATGGTAATTCATGTGAAAAAAAACAGCAGGCAGCAATGGAAGCCTCAGCAAACCAAACCTTTAATTGATAGAATCAGCAACCAACTAAATAGGGGACTTGGCTGAAGCAGTGCAGATCAATGATGGGAATTTGGCAGAAGAATTGCCGAACTCCAATGGAAAACTCACGAGTCCATCGCAGAGATAACATTGAGTTTTGAAAATCATATAGCAGACAAAAACAGTAGTTTTGCGGAACAAGTTAGAGGCCTTAGGAAGAAACGATGGAAGTTCTTTCTAGAGCATTCAATGCCAAAAAGAAATACTTATTGACATTGCTATAGAGATCACACTCTAGCATTTTGAATAGATCATTGAGAATTTATTTGTGGATTAGCTTTAGTGGTTTCTCAGTAGAATTCATATGATTTTATACATTGTTCAAATAGAAAGGATGAATGGATGTGGGTCAGAGTGCGAGTGAAGAGTATACACATACCTTAAATGAATCGCAGTTAAAAACATGAAATGTTGATACTGTTGAAGAATCGTTATGTAGAAGTTCAACCCGGCTGATGATAGAATTGAATTTGACATCGGAGGAACTAATTTTTCCACTAAAAACAGTATTTAAAATTAGTTTTTTAAGTTTCTTGCCATTTTTCAAAATAAAAAATTGTTGAAAGCTATTCATTCTACAGTATATTCGTTGCTCTATCTAGTACAAACAAGATCTTTTATGGTATAAGTCTTTAGCTGAATATTTCGTCAAAAAACTCGAATCCACTACTAACTATACGTACACGAACAGTTCGAATTTTTTTTGAATCGAACCGAAGAGAACCGACCTAGGTTTGAAAAAAGTTCGAACCGAACCACTCGCATATCTGATTTGAAATCAATAGAATTTATATTATTTTTTACGTCACTAACTATGGCAATACTAGGGCAGTCAACAAGTTCTGTCACTTTCAAATATCTATTCAGAGAAAAAACATTTTGCTAATCTTTTTACAATAAATGTTCGAAGTAGTTCCTATAATGTTCCATACAAAGTTTTATCCTTTCAATCCGCTTCTGCAATATCCTTAGGTATTTTTGAATAGGTTTTGAATTGAGCTCTTTGGTTACTGCTTTACCTGAATTTGTAGCATATGGATATTATTAAGGCTATGTTTCAGACAACCGAACAACCAAAAGTTTGAAGGAGCAAGGTTAGGTGAGTATGATGGAAAAGTCATAACCTTCATTCTTTTCTCTTGAAGATAATTAAGATTGAGAACAATATTTTGAATATGCGATTTTACATTTTTATAATGCAAATTTATGCTACTTGTTTTTGATGATGTTTTTTTCTTACGTAAATTTTTGGCTAATATCTTCAAATATTCATCACGATAGTTTATATGATAACTATGTCTAAGATAGTAGTAACGTAATCAATACTAGTATGTAGATCATCACTCACTAGGTTCTTGGCATTAGCAATATTTTATTGAGTAATGACGTTTATTGGACCATCATTTCAAAGATCATCTTCCAATGACTCGGATCCACTTGAAAATCGATGAACCCAATTAGCAACTGTACAATATGAAACAACACCTTGTCCATAAGTAGTAGTTAATTCATCATGTATTTGTGTAGCGGCTAAACCTAATAACAAACGAGTTTTTATATATGAGCGTAAACGCAGTTTATCCATCTGAAAATGGAAGTGTTCAAAAAATTCGTTGAAAATTTGTCATAATAGACATTTATGAAACTTTGTATTGGTATTTTAATACATAACAGATGTCACTACTACAATAGGCCAATATGAGGCATAAAATCAATTGGGATTAAATTTTAGACAGCTGTTGCTAGAATTATTTATCTACCCTTAGTAGATTGGTTCCACGTCAAAAACCACAAAAGACTTATGTGTAAAACAGTACCGAGGTCTCACCATCCGTATCATAACAATACTTATGCATCTATTAATACACAAATTACCGGACAAGCTTTTTTACCTATCTATCAAAATTTAAACATTCATTGAGAGGATACAATTATTAAAAATCGACAATGTTTTCTTTATATGTAATTCTTTTTCATTCAAAAACTGTACAACTATTGCAATTAATTCAATTGAACAAGCGGTATAAAACTTTCTCGAATATATATTTCTCGTTATAAACTTTTTTTTGGCATTTTTTCATCTCATTTATTCAATAATCGACCTTAATCACGTTTAATTTTGTTATAAAAACTCCTTCCAAGTCACTTTCATAAATGTTTTTTTACGATTTATCTGGGTTGGTAGATCCTAATAAATGAAATGAAGATGATAGTAGATATCTGATGTCTGATCTTGTGGTTAAATTAAATATAGATGGTAGGATGTTTCTAATTTGCTAGTCATTTTTGGAATAGTGGAATTTGAGAGTACTTAATTATGATTAAATTAATTCAAATTTCTGTGAGCTCTTTTAACTGAGAGAAATTTAAAAATTTTGGCGATTTAAAATTTGAAAAATTTTGATACACAGATTTCAAAATTAGTACTGATTTGAGATTTGCCATTTTATGATAAATTCGCGTATATTCGCCGTATTTCTATGTAAAGTATTTATTAAGAATATTGAAGTACATAAAATAATGAGTGTAACGGAAAACTGATAATGTGGTGAGAATACGATGTAGAAAGATGGGTGACCGCGTGGTTGGATCATGTCTTTTATGGCTTTGCTTTGTTTATCGTTTCTTCAACCTCAATTCCGTTACTTGTTGTACGTGATTTTATTTCTCTCTTGATATTATTCGAATATTTCAAATAATTTGATGTAGTCGTTCGATATTGATCAATGGACGAAAGTAAACATTGTACATGACAATGGTTTATCTGGAGATGATGGAGTTGTAGTCGTGGTAGTACCTAAATAAATATGATAAGTTGCACTTGAATTAAAAATCTCTTGTACTATACAGTGTCCTCGCAGCATGTTGAAAAACCAATTTTAGTCCGATTTTTCAATTTTTATATAGAAAGTCCTAACCATTTTCAAGACGAAATACAGACTAGATTCAGAAGTCGGAAATATACAGTTCCAATATATTGATTTAGTAGCTCAAATGAACGGCGATATGTCCTACAGTATGGAACTCATTTCTAAATAGTAAATGTTCAGCTTGAACTCCGCTGTTAGCAGCTTACAGTTACTCAGGAATAAGCTTCCAGGTAAGCAACAGAAAAGACATATTCTTTGTTTGAATATTTTATTGTCGAACTTATTGGCACTTATCTATCACTCTTGATTGAATCTATTGTAATTTGAATGCATTTTTCTTCTAACACAACTACTTTAGAAAGTTGCATGGGATATGTAGTCGCCGGATTTCATTCAAGAGAAAATGAGTAGAAACGCGTCCTCTCGATAACTTTGCTTCTCTTATTAAGTAATTCATTCTTTTGCATTTTCTTTCTTTGTCATTCGTAAGAATAGTGAGCTTCCAATAGCATATGAATATATAATATTCAAATTCTCATGAAAGAAAAAAGATCATCGAAAGCACTTTTCTAGAATACTTCAATAGCCTTGAAGTTTATAAAAAAAAAAGCGTTCAAAGCTTTCTAGCAGAACACAGGATTCATGAGTCACAGCTGAGCAACGATTTTGTGGTACTATAGGCTTCAACAGAAATCCAAGCAGTAAAGAAGTATATATATCTTGCATTATTTACGACAAGAAAGATTAAAATAAGCGATATTAAACTAGAATGTCCCATCACCGACATGAAATGGTTATTCAAATTATATTGGGGAAGGAGACGAAGCACTGAAACGTATGATTGCGTTTGCCAATCCTCAGCGGTAACAAAACCAGTATAAGCGTTTAGTACAAATAAGCCCAAGTTTGAGAATGACATCATGTGAACAAGAAAAATCAGTAACGGAAAGTAACAGAGATGGGAAAGTTAAGAATGCCATAAAGGTAGGTAAAAGGCAAGAGGAGCTGGCACCCAAGAACCGACAGTCAACATCTGGACTATTGAAACATGATTAAAAGTGAATGCTCAAAGTGTATGGCAAGAAACTTCGACTTCTCACTCTCACACAGACCATGGCAGACAGACATGCAGCATATATTTTTAGAATGTCAGAGTGTATATTCTAAAATCAATACCTAAATAATTATTCATTTGACATTTTCCATAGATTGTGTCTCGAATCTGTAGAACGGTAAATATTTGATTATGCCTATCTGTTTGTCTGAAACACAGTTCTTTAAACCATCGCCTATATGAATATGAATCATTGTTTTATTTTTATCTCGATTTTTGTAACTCTTTTATTTTTATTCGTAAGACTGAAAAGTCCCAAGTCTTGAGAGTTAAGTTTAACAAAATGTCTGCCTGCGTATGCATATGGAAGTCAGTCTCTAATTCAGCTTTTAAATCATTCTGTCTGACCTTATGGGATTGTTTTATAGTTTCCATTTCGAATTTTTTTATCATTTTCGAGCAATCTCATCAGTATTGATGGCTGTTGTAGTCTGACTTTTATTTGGGATTCAGTTTGTGACGAAGATTTCCATCATTTCGTCAGATACTACAATATCAAATGAATGATCAAAACTGGCAATGATTTCTCTTGGTATTTTTACAAAAAACTAAACCATTTTCTGGAAAAATTGCTCGAAGATAATCGACATACAAAACAAAAATCGATTTACAACAAGGTCAAGTAACATTCAATAGAAGAAAAATACTTTCAATCCTCTTCCTATCGTTACCATTCTAGATAGTATGTGATAAGGATCATTTCTACAAGACAATGCTTTCTTATCAGAGTTTAGCAAATTCTACAATTCTCACTCTATCCTCTTGTTGACATCAACTACATTTACAGGCAAAGACAACTCTAATGCTGTGTTCTTGCTCAGTTTCTTATAATACTACAAAAAGTTAGTTGATTTTCTCCGTGTTTTCATGAAAAAAAACTCCAAAAATATCTTCATATTTTTTGATTTAAGTTCAAATCAGTGATATTTTAGATCGGAAATAATTAGGGCTTCAATTTCTATTAACTCTATAAATTTCAAACGATTTAAATTAAGTCATGTGTATTATCATACATTTCTCATCAATATCATCTATACAAAATTATGCTGAATATTTTGAGAAGTGAAAGTCGTTTATGAACAACTACAGCTCTAAGCTATGTAAAGCACCATTAGGATTACCAAAAAAGTAATATGCATATCAACTAGATCTTCATTTATCCAATATTGAATGAATGAGATACTTAGAATAAAGAGGTAATTACTGACTTGGAGGCCCTATAACACATGGTTTTATTACTCTTTAAAGATTGCTTAAATAGTCATCGCTAGACATAAGATATTTTGAATGATGGAAATCACCCATTTTGATACAGGAAACGGAGAGATATACTGATGATATTGATTAGTTTCGACTGAATCGTTTTCAAAACTTTCCAGACAACTGGAATAATTGAACGATGAATAATTTTTAATTTTCTAAATAAGAAGTTTTTCTCTGTCCAAAGCACCATTAAAAGATGATGACTGTCATAATTTGGATGAAAAATAACCTTCTTCATAATAACCCCCTATTTTTGAACGGCTTAATAAAAAAATATGTTTGAAATAATCAAAATTCCCATAAAACAAGCTCAGTGTTTGTGACCGTCTTGAATGCAATCTTTTTTAAAGATTCATAGTGTGCTTTTCTCATCAGTATTCCTTTACTATACGTTTTTGCTAGCGGAAAACTGGATTTCTCATTATTTCCTTCCTCTCATATTATTTTTGAATCTTTCACACTAATAACTTAACAAAAAACATGATCTAGTGTTTAGCTGAAAGCCAGTTGACAAACCTGTGCTGTAGTTTACCATAATATTTGCATTAAAGTTCTTAAGAAATATAACGATCAATAAAAATATGATGACAACGAGAAGTCCAAGCAAAACTATACCAATGTTCATTCCATTGATCAATAAGATCCATTTTTCATACGTTTTTCTGAAATAAAAACATAGAAAAGGTGCATCATTCATTTATGAATAATAGAAAGCGAAAGCAGTATTGATGTTGAGATGATGAGATAAAATCTTCGAGTGGAAAATGGTTTTCCGACTGCAACTATGGTCATTTTATTGTTCATAGAGATTAGTGTAATTCTCTAACTTGGATTAAATATGTGGGCCTTTTGAGATTGAACTATAAATATTATTTTACTCACTTCTCGCACTGTTTTGAAGCATTTCTAAAAAGCGAGTAAATTGTTGTTTATCTGATAATTGGTATTTGGATAGATTTCATTGTTACGAGACTGTTCCAAAAGTTATCATCAAAATATATCTTTCCATCTCGAGATATTAACTTCTTTAAAAATTTGTATTTTATTTTAAAGAATTGAAAATACTTGATCTGCTTGAAAAACCAATATTTCGTAGAAGCATTCGTTCGAACTGAGTTTTGTAGTAAAGTTTGGTAACGATGAGACCCGTTCGTGTGCCAAAGTTTAGACCAAAAATACGACATCCGATTTTATTCAGAAAAACTTTAGAACAGTTTGAGATGGGATGAAAATAACTCTCATAACTCAATTTCAAAGGCTTAGACATTCAATCGTAGTTACAGCATTATACAACTGGCTATGATCAATTTAATGACTACAGTGCTGGTCGAAAAGAGAGTTTACACTTGGAAATTTTTTCTTGCGACCAGTAATCTATTAGCATGTTAGTTGTAATGTAAGTGAAACAAACTTTGGCAAACTTACAGCTTCTCCATTGCACTCATACTTTTTTATATAATGTTTCCTTTGATATTTCTTGCTATATTAACGATTCATCATCGTTAGATATTCTGGAATCCAAACTATAAGTTTGATATCTGAAATGTATGATTCAAAACATGAAGTAAATGTTAAATTGGCCAGAAAATATTGACGTAAACAGTGGAGAAGTTATGATTTTTTAGCACTGCACCATTTTCTAGTGGAGCTCTTTTGAGAACTAAGCCACTATGAACAATTGAAAGACTCACAGGGCTATATTTTCTTTGCTGGCTTCTTTCAGTTCCGTTAGTTGATATATATATATCAGATTGACGACGTTAAAAGGTGGTATCAGTATTTCATCAATGTCTTTTCAATTTTTTACTCACGAAGATCAGAACAATTTTTTAAATGATTTCTTCTTTAATTCTCTTCAAGAATACTTTAAAACAGTTGATGTTAGGTGGCAAGTGAGAAAATCAGTATAAAACTATTTTAAAGCTACAACATGTTGAAATTTCTAAACAGTTTACTCAAGGGATTTCGACTGTTTTCTATAGTTCTACAAATTGAAGAAATCCTGACACAGGTCGTTTGCATAAATCAGAGTATATTTTTTGTGTCCAACCGTAAAATCTGTTACAACGAAGGTTCATTTTAACCCAAGAAGAGATTTTTTCAAATCTGTCGAAAATTGCGGAAATTTAGTTCATCTGTACATTTTGTTCAATATGGAAAAATAGCGTAAACAAAGTCTCAAGTTTTACTGCTTGTGTCATTTATGTCCCCTTAAATTAAAAGCGAAAATTAGTGTAAAAGATTCATTGTTGATTGATATATGAAATTTTCCTGACCGTTTTCAAAATTTTCTTTCGAAAAAGTGATTTTTACAAAATTCGAAAAAGAGACCATACCTATCCTATAATAAGCTTTCTGATATGAAACAAATTTGGTTGAAGCATAACAATAGAGCCTTGCAACCGTGAGAAATAGCTTCTATGTTTTTAGTACCTCGCACTACGTATCAACAAACAAAACAAAGAAACTTGTTCTTTTGCAACAAAGGTGGCTATGTTGAAGCTTCCGAATATAATTTTTGTTCAATTATTCAAATTTACCATTCGACATAACCTGCTCTTATATTTTCTTGAAGAGAATTAAATGGAAATCATTCACAAATAGTTCGAGTCTTGAA